AGGGGTGCTTTTTAGCGGTTAATGCGCAAACTTGTGTCTTCTTTGGGTTAAACTGGACTAGATTTAGTCGCCCCCAATCCGAGACTCTGTTCAGCAAAGACTCGACTTTAGACACAAGTTTGTCCCGGCACTCGGAGACGTTTTCCCGAGAAATATTGGCTTGGCCGGTGTAAAGAGCATCACCAGTGCTGCCATCTGCATAGCAATGAATGTTACGGTTTTGCAACATATCATTGATATGCAGAAGAAACAGCGTTAGCGATAGCACGCAGACTTGTGGAACACCAGCATTAATAGGCTTGCAATCGGAGGTTGCACCGTCTACAACGACCTTGATGCTCCGATCTGCAAGAAAGCTGGTGATCCAATCGCACAATTTCTCGTGAAGCCCATAGGAAGGGAACTTCGAAAGAAGCGCTTTGTGCCAAAGCCGATCGAAGGCCTTCACAATGTCCAAACTAACGGCCAATGCCTCCCCCTTGGACTCTACTGCCTCCGCCCATCTGTGAGTTAGGTAGACCAGAAGATCACCAGCTGACCGACCACGGCGAAAACCGTATTGGCGGTGACTAATCAGCTGGTGATCCTCAAGGTACCTCATGAGCTGGCAGTTTACAATGGACTCCATTGTGAACTTGAAATTTATAACTACACTTAACAATTTTAGACTTGAGTTACATTTATGATTTCAGTGATACTGACGGGAATCGAACTATCGGTTTAATTATAACTCAAAGTATTAAATTTTAAGGAAATTTCTTATTCCCTTAACTACTGCTAACCACGCTATGGTGGAAATTGGACATTGCTTTTGTGCTATAATAACCTCATACACAGGATAGATAAGCGCTAAGTGGGTATTTATGGGACTAACTTCACACCCTCCTGGAATTAAAAGCGCATAGGAAAATAGAAAACTTACAATATTGAATATTTTTACCATTTAATCAAAAAATTAATATTAACTTGGGCTGTGATTCGCACTAATTATACAACTCCACTAGATTGACAGCAAAGCTCCGTTAATTCATCATCGTCATCATCTAGTCCACTGCTGAATATGGGCCTCTTCCAAAGAATGCCACAAAGCACGGTGCTGAGCCAAAAAAAGTGTAAATCGAATCATTAATTAGCTCTAGATAAATATAAAATTAGATAAATAAAATTGTGCGTAGAATATCTATGAAATACAAACATAAAAATATTCTGTAGAATTATCAGAAACTATGACAGGCTTCGAAATATTTTTCTCTTATTTTTGTTTATACTTTGACGTAATTAGAGTTTATTTTATGTTTATTATTATTATTTACACTCAGATTGATAACGATATTCCTTTTAAATAAAGCTCTTAAATCTTAATATATATAAATTACGTGTCACGTTGTTTGTCCGCGATGGACTCCTAAACTACTTAACCGATTTTAATCAAATTTGCACACCGTGTGCAGTTTGGTTGACAGATAGGATAGTTTTCTTTTGCCCATGAGTGACCCACCATTTTTTGCGCATTTAAGGATTTTTAATAGGACATGACAAAAGGTCGTCGAAATGGGCGGAACAACGTCTGCCTGGCAAGCTAGTTATATATAGTTTAGATTTTCTGAATATTGTTCTTTCTCAATGTTGTATCGGCTACTACATCGTAAAGGCCAAAGTAGTTGTGATTTTTTGTTAATTCAGCCGTGTGACGAATTAGATAATAGATTTACTGTTTTGTAATATCTCGAAAGTCAGCCATCGACCAACTGAACACATTTTTTTAATAACTTAGTTTTCCATGTAGTACTCAGGTGCTCTAATTTTTAGGCAAAGCGAACAAAGGGAAATTAAAACAGAAGATAGGCAACAGTATCACAGCATCAACTTGATAATACCTAATTTAAAATTATTCTAAAAAACTATGGCAATATGCTTCCTCCCCATAGATAGCCTCATATATCTATGGGGAGGTTTATGTTCAGCTGTGAGCTTGATAGGCTGTTCTGCATGGATGGCGTTCATGTACTACTATTACTCTAATCTTTATAGTTCTACTACTTTATTCTCTGCATCTTCTTGAAAAATAAATATCTAAAGAAAGTTTAGGTCCAATGATCAGCGGTAGATATGTGGTGAACTTTCGTACGCTAATTCCATTGATTTTTGAACCTGCTTTACACCAGTCACGGTTGTTGTATTATGGGTGCTGAAGTTATTTATTATTTATGGGTGATGAAGTGATCTTCAATTTTATTATTTCCATATTTGAAATAATTACCAATTATGTATGTAATATTATATAATATGTAATATAATATATTACATATTATATAATATAATATATTATTATATAATATGTAATATATTATAATTATATATAATTATAAATATACTACAATAATATATCTATGTATAGATTATACGTTTTTTTACTCAAAACATGTTTCTGTTATTAAAATAGACCACATTCACTAAGAATGATATTCTCCATCATTACATTTATGAACCTACAAATTTTGATGAATATGTTAACGTATGCTCTAATTCCATATTTATAAACATATTTTTATAAATATTAAATAAAATAAACTTGAATACGATTTGTGTAATTTTTTTGCTAATATGAACATTCGATTATCCTTTCTCCGCTCCGCTATACTTTAGACAACCTTATCTCGAACGATAATTTTCTCGTTAGCGTTAAGCAAAATATAATTTTATAATTAAGCTGTTTTAAATTCATTGCTATAGCAAATAATTAAAAAAAACACAAGAACTGCTTGCTGCAGCTCAGGTCACATTTAATGATTTATTCACTCATAAAATGGGACAATAATGTAGATTGAGTTTTTTTGGTGTTGATAAACTGGTAAAACGTTATCACATTCGCATATACGTGACAAATAGAAAGTTGGTTTATTCAGCATAACAGTGAACTTTGAAATATGTAAACCATGGAGAATTAAATACACATTCTTCTGCTTGGTCGGTCGTCACGCATGGCACCTTGGCACGCGGATTAGCAATCGCAGTAATATTGAGATGGTTATACCGCCATTTATCGTTAGCCTTAATATCTTTCTGATATATTCCATAGTTTCCTCTTACTTCGTGAGTGTCACGTAGAAATTGGATGATAGTGGGAAATCTCTCACACCGCCAATCAGAGGGTAAAATATTTAAATAAAAAATAAGACTATAAATATACTTTAAGTTAAGAATATTGCAGTTTTTTTTTCAACGTGGTAGAGCCACGCTGCAGCTATATTATGGTTGTAGCACGAATGGGTCGGCTCGACCGGGGTAAGTCACACTCTCACAGAATACCAACGTAAAATGGCGGGCGTAATGCTGCTGTGTTTCGTATGGTCAGTTTAGAGATCCGGAGACCCTTTTTACTGGAAACGAAGCATTCCGTCTCAGTCCGCAGGTGTGATAACGCATCTACATTTTGATTTTTAATCGAGAATAAATTATGTAGATGTTTATGAGTCACAGCATCCACTAAAGGCTACCACTAAAACAATGGTTACGGTACTTAATTTTAGAATTTCAAAGTATATTTATTAAAATTTATCCTATTGTACTAAAGAAAATTTCTTTTTGTACAATCTATATTTTTATTTTTCATAAAAAGAAATGCGTAATCTATATTTATTACTATATTAAATTAAGTAAATTTCAAACAGTACCAAACAGTACCAAAATTATAAATATTATATAATTTTGATCGATTTATAACTTTGCTAATATATATATTTTCAAATACTGTCCACACTTAATATTTGAAACATGAACACAAACATTTAGAAATATGCTCTCTTCGTTCCGTTTCCTTGAGAGAATGCTAAAAAGATTAAGGTGAATAGCCTCCAGTTTTCTTAAAATCCTGCTCCTCATAACAGGGGAAACCATAGCTATTTATGTTTAAATAAGTCATGCTGTGCGGAGTACATTACCAATTTATACCATAACTTTCCCAAAACATAAGATGTAATTGACCATGGATTACAAAATACAGAAACTGGGCCACGCCAGAATAAGCGTTTCACTACTGAGGTAGTCAAGTCTAATCTTCCAAATCTCTCTCTTATCTCGTTATGGTATGTGATTATAAATTCCTTCCAAGATTAGTGCCATCAGATATAACTCAAGGCTCTCATCTCGGACCTTTGTTTTATACTGTTTGTAAAAAAGATTTATGCTCCAAATTTTCAAATGTCTGCAAATTTATAGTAAAGTAGAGCATAAAGTATCTACAACGCGACCTTAATACTATCAACGACTGATGTGTAGTTAATAAACTAATACCATTATAATTTTTAGAAAAACATGTACGATGCTTGTTTCTTACTACTTCAACAATAGTAACTAATTGGAGTCTGTAGTATTCATGGATCATATATAGCTAAAAGCATCGTGCCTTCGAGGTTTTGTATGTAGGCATGCAAAGTTATTTGAGGAGCCTATTATTACTATTGTCCTTTTGAATTCCTACGTGCGTAGCCTGCTAGAATACTGCAGCCCGATCTGGAGCTGATCGGATCAGATGCATACGTCTGGAAAACCTTCAAAAGAAATTTTGTATTATCTTTCGTTTACAAAAAATCTTTGTCTACGCCTAGAGACTTATAAATCACAGGAGATTTAAAGCCGACATTTTGTTTCTGCATAATCTAATGAATGTATATATAGAAAGCACATAATTGCTTGGTAAAATCGAGTTTTATGTCCCTCGTCCCTCCAGTTATATTATTAATAGAAAAACGTTCTAACTCCCATATGCTCGTACAAATTATGGTCAGCACTCATCTTTATATCGCATCTGCTTTTCGTACAATAGAATTAATAATAATAATATATTTAACTCCTCTTCTCTCCTTTAAGAAAAATTTAATTAAACTGTACATATTGATTAATGATTTTTTGTAATTATTCCAAATTCATAATGTATATTATGTCCAGTTTATGAACCTATTAAAAATATACGAGTGACATCAAAGTTACTTTTGTTGCAGTGCTATGGGAGGAGCAGGAGGTGCCAGAGTACGACATCGACTCGGAGGACGAAAGGTGGCTGAAGCAGCAGAGGCACCCAGAGCTCACAGGTATACATCGCTTCTGAGGTGAGAGGCGATCATATAGCAAACTTTCAAACAAACAAAATTTTCGGGATCTCAGATCTTTTTCCATTTTTCACCACATCTTCATATTTTTTTAAAAAAGGAACCAAAAGTGTACCTGATGGCAAGTGGCTAGTGCAATAATCCATGGCAACTTGCAGCCAACTTTAAACAAGGAAGGCTACAAATACGTTGTCACATCTGAGGACATATGTGGATCGCCTCATAGCCTGTAAGTATACTGTATACTGCCTCTCGTTACACTGCAGACCAGACACAGCAGCGCAGGCAGTGCTATTTGCCAGCAAAAATAGCCAAGAGGGTAGTTACCTGTACTGATGGACTCCTTAGTAGAAAAGAAATACTACCATCTAGCAAGTAACATAATTGGTCATACTCGTAAGTAACGTTAAAATTAAAAGTTTCACAACTAATATCAATGAGTATTTTAATAATAATTTAAACTAATAAATAGAATACAGATCTATATTCTATTGAAAAAATAACTTACTATATTAATTTATAGTTTTCCATTCTGCCAGAAATCTGAAATATTGCTTCTTACAAAAATATTTACACTATTTTTAGTTATAATGATTATTTGATTTTAGACTGTATTAAATTTTTATTGACAAATGGGAGAAATAGACAATATGTATATTTATTAGAAGTAACATTGAAACAAAATTTTAATAACAATTTCTTTTCAATTATCACTTTAAAAATTAGACACAAATTAAATAATTTACATCATTTGTTTGAATAAGTGTTATTAAATTACCTTGTTCGCATCATTTTGACGTGATCTATTTCGTTAATTTCTTATCAGCCACCTAAAAGTTGAATACGTTGGACAGAGCTAAAGTTCGAGCAAATGATGGACAAGTTGGAGCGCAGTTCAGGTCAGACGGTGGTGACGCTGAACGAGGCCAAGCTGCTGCTGGAGCGGCAGGATGATCTGGTCATTGCCGTCTACGACTACTGGCTTAACAAGCGCCTCAACACGGTGAGCCATGATCCTGCTCTTGTGTTAGGAAAAAACGCCCATAGCAAAGACGAGTCGGGAGTCGAGGCGCAGGCGATGCGTAGTCAAATAGGCAGAAAAATAGCAGTGCGGGTGCACTTTACCGCGCCTCAAGTTCGCTTCGACCCTGCCTCGGGTCAGTTATTGAAACCACATTTGGTTCTAAGCGATACATAGAAGAGGCATACCTATAGAATGAACGACCGTGTCGTGACTTCTGTGTGACCGATATGCCTTAAAACTTATTCAGTACGAATTTAATTAACTGAAATATTCGTATCTAGTAATAAACCAGCTTTTAGTCATTGTATCTGTTTAAAAATTTTAAAGAACCATTTAAAAGTAAACTTTTGTGATAAAATAACATAAGTAAGACAATTTACAAAGTTGAATCGGAAAGTCGGTTATAAGCACAGGAATCGGAGTTAATATAAAAAGAAATTTTACAAAAAAAAAAGAAAAAAAAAGAAAAGATTACCTTCAAACCCAAAAAACATTATACATTATTTTACCATGGATGCGCACATACCTTATCAGTATTTTGATTACGCTACTTGGTCTTTTCAAATATGTGCCGAATATCGTCACCCCGATTGATTTTCCCGTACTAACTTTTCCGGGCAAGTGGCGCATAGTTGATATACTTTCGCCCTCAATTACTTCTGTAGAATTTGCCTGGGAAAGATTCGGCATATTTCTATAGATTTTCCGCCATCAATCAATTGTCGCTTCGTTAGTCAGGTCAGGTAGCAAGGTACACCGCGAGCGGGTTAGTTTAACATCGGTAGTATAATGTATACACATTCCGTTATATTTTGTGCATATTGCGCATAAATAGATTTCAGTTTTACAAATTGATCCCAAAACCCACTCGACTGCTGAATGCTGTCTCTGCGCTTGATGTTCACAACATTACACATTTGGTCATACTTAATTATTTTAACCTACCTATTTTTATTTTGCAGCAACATCCATTAGTATTGTCGGTGAAGACAGAACATCGGCCGGGGCAGTCGTCGAACAATCCTTACTTAGCTTTCCGGAGAAGAACAGAAAAGATGCAGACCAGAAAGAACAGGCGAGTAGATTATCAAAACAATATTAGATTTAGCGTTATTTTTTTCGTTTTGCTGAGGGATACGATGTTGAAACATATAAATAGTTTTAAAACGTTGTAACTTTTTTGTCCTAGATGTTATCTTAAACTCAAACTATCCAAATCTAATGATTAAAGAGTATAAACAATTATTTGTTATTACGAAATTTTAGTTTTATTTCAATAATCGTAATACTAAAACTATTAGGTAAAAAACAAATATTAGTTTATGATATAGGGTATCATTATGATGATAATAATGTCGTCAACAGAGCGATGCTCCTCATTTTTTGATTCAACATGTCGCATGTAGATTGATATTATGCATAATCTCCCATTGAAATTAAAAAAAAAATATTCAAAAATTCACGGATAACGTATAAGGGGTCGCTATGGTCTTACTGCTCCGATTGTCCCGAGCAGTTTTAGTCGCGAACGGAATTTCGCCCGCCTCCCCTCCCCCAAAATGCGCGAGGCACCAATGCTCAGGAAGAGTACGGAAGCTTCGGGGTGCTGGTACCTCCTGGGGTAAAAAATTATATGACTTGTAGATATTTATAGGGCTGAAGTTATTATTAGTTACATTGCAACCATCCGCTCAATAAAATAAAATGATGTGTCTTACCTAGTTTTAAGAGCACCCACCGCCCTCCCTCAATTGCGTGCACTAATCCCGTCTTTTACTTAGTTTATTGAGCGGATGGTTGCAAAGTAACTATTAATATCTTTAGGATTATCCGCAAATGACTAAGATCTCATCACATACAGGAAGAACGATGAGAGCTCGTACGAGAAGATGCTGAAGCTGCGGCGCGATCTGGCGCGAGCGCTGTCACTGCGCGCGCTGGGGGCACGGCGCGAGCGCGCCAAGCGAGAGTTGTTACGCATCACCGCACTGCTCGCGGAGCGGCGCTACGCGGCAGGGGACTTCGCTGCGCAGCTGCAGCCGGACCCGCCCAGGTACATTGCATGTCTCACACTATACATGAAATATTCCACTGTGATGATATCACCTTCCTTCTGATTGACTCAGAAGGTGGGTAAAGGATCTCAGTGGATGCTACGTAGAATCATCGTGTTTTTTTAAACTCATTTTCAAAAAGGGTCATGAAGACCTAGATGACTGTGATGATTACCACCTATGTTTGGACTCATTTGAAAGGTACTCATTAAGGCCTAGGTGACTGTTATAATCTCACCTTTCTGATGGTGCAATCCGAAGATGAGTATAGGATCTCAGTGATGGTACTAGATAGGACGGTCGTGTTTGAACTCATTTGAAAGGGCTCATAAAGACCTAGGTGGCTGTTATTTATAGGAGTCACGCAATTTTATCTGTGACACTTTTAAACTAAAATTTTTAATTTATGTATCCCCCCCCCCCCCCCCAAAGGGATGGAAGGGAGGGGAATTTATTTTATAAAACTCAACATATTCGATTATGAAACAAATCAAATAATTATTTTATTAACTCTAGTCTTTTGTTTATTTTATCATTTTTGTACAATCGTAGCGCGTTCGCAAGATGACGCGGCCATACGATGGTTGCGCGGTGGGCAAAGCGTTGAAATATAGATATCAACAGTCGATATTTTTTTAAAGAAAAAGTTCAAATTTTTAATTTTTCTCGCAAATATTAAACTAATACTACCCAGTCTACTGTACTTTATTTATAATACACTATAGATAGATAGATAGATAACTCTTTAACTAAGTTATTACAATAACGGAAAACTTATGACTACAAACGGTGGTCATATCGCTTTAAGCGATTTCTGCCTGACAAACCGAACACAAAAGGACATTATAATTTTATATTTTGACGGATAGGTGCAACGTGCAATATGAAATAAACAGAATTTTTTTTTATTTATTTTTATATTTTATTATTATATTATATTTATATACATACTTATAATATATATACATATTTTATATGTACAATAATTTTATTTTAATATATTCAAACATATACTGCAGAGAAAATTCAACAAAAAAAAAATCAAGTATTTATGAGAAGAGAAAATACCATATAATTTATTATTATGACGGGAACTTCAAATAATATTCCTTAAGTAGTTTTTTAAAAGACTGTAAAGATTGTGCTTTCTGAATGTTAAGTGGTAATGAATTCCAAAGTCGCGTTGCTAGTGAAGTAAATGATTTATTATAAAATGAAGTTATGTTGTAAGGAGTATTTAAAGCCAAGCTGTACACTGAACGCAAATTGCGGTTATGAATTTCATGTCGATAGTGAAATTGTTCCTTAAGGTACCTTGGAGATTTCGAATCAAACAGTACACAAAAAGGTAAAGAGATACTCTCTCTCTCTATGAACATTCCGGCGAAGGCGAATAGGGAGCCACTTGAGTTGATTTCGAAATTGGGATACATGATCATATTTGCCACTATATTATGCTTTTAATTTTTCCCCAGTTTATTTATTTGCTTATTATCTTAAAAAGAAATGTAATTTTGTATAGTATATCTCTGTGGTATCAAAATTACTATAATCTACGAAACTTAGTACTACTTTACTTACTGTATGTTTTGGCGCGAACTTGACCGTCGACTGATTGTTGCGCCTCTTTAATCATTTAAATAATTAATGGTTTGAAGTGGATTTTCATACGTAAAAGTGATGGAATTTTGTGTATTAAGTGTCTACGCATGTGAACTAATAGAGAAAACGACTAAACAAGTGCTTCTACGTTAATATAAATCTCAAGTTATGCTTAGGCATCATGAACTTGAGTTATTGTCGTCATTGAAAATAACTCAAGCAATATTCGATTATTGAATAGCTGTTAAAAATTTATTTCTTCAGCTAAATCTGTAGCATCTGTGCTTCTTAACATATAAAACATCTGAACATAATAAAAACATATTGGTACACATAATCTTGTAATTTAATTCGCTTAATAAATATAATAAATGAACTAAACTAAATGACTTACGATGGTTTTTTAAATAAAGCCGATATATCGTTATTTTTTTTTCGATATATAAAACTCCGATATTGACTTACTGTATTATTAACTTACGGTACTTGAAGTCCTTCAGAGGCTCTTTAATTCCGTCCTCCATGGTTGCACTACTCCGAAGGCGTGGAGCAGAAGTGCGGTGGTCTTGTTCTTCAAGAAAGGTGACAAGTGACAACGCCCTCTTGAAGAACTACAGACCGATTTCCCTTCTGAGCCGCGTCTACGTGCTGTTTTCGAGAGTCATTACGAATCGTCTCGCACGCAGACTCGACGACTTCCAGCCTCCCGAACAAGCTAGTTTCCGAAAAGGCTTTAGTACCATAGACCATATTCATACCCTTCGACAAATTGTACAGAAGTCCGAAGAGTACAATCTGCCTCTTTGCCTGGCGTATGTGGACTATGAGAAAGCCTTTGATTCCGTCGAAATTTGGGCGGTGCTGCAGTCCCTTCAGCGGTGCCAAGTTGACTGTCGGTATATCGAAGTGCTGAAGTGTTTGTACAGTAGGGCTACGATGGCTATCCGAGTACAGAACCAGAGTTCGAAACCTATCCAACTGCAGATAGATGTAAGACAGGGTGACGTTATATCCCCGAAACTCTTCACCGCTGCGTTGGAAGACGTTTTCAAGCTACTGGATTGGAAATGATACTGTATTAACATCAATGGCGAGTACATCACTCGCCTTCGATTTGACGACGATATAGTCGTTATGGCAGAATCGCTGGAGGACTTAAGCACTATGCTCAATGACCTCAATAGTGTCTCCCAACGGATAGGTCTTAAGATGAACATGGACAAAACAAAGACCATGTTTAATGTCCATGTCACACCTATGCCCGTAGTTGTTGGGAGCACTAAGCTCGAAGTTGTTGACGAGTACGTTTACCTAGGAAAAATAGTCCGACTAGGTAAGTCCAACTTCGACCGAGAGGTCAATCGACGGATTAAACTCGGCTGGGTAGCGTTCGGGAAATTACGACACATCTTCTCGTCAGGTATACCTCAAAACCTGAAAACTAAGTAGTACAACCAGTGCGTGTTGCCAGTGATGACCTACGGAACCGAGACGTGGTCCTTCACTACTGGCCGTATGAGGATGCTCAAAGTCGCTAAGCGAGCTATGTAGAGGGCTATGCTCAGAGATTCTATGCGTGATAAACTTAGAAATGAGGATATCCGCAGTAGAACCAGAGCGACCGACATAGCCCAACGGATTAGTAAGCTGAAGTGGCAATAGGCCGGCCATATAGCTCGAAGAACCGATAACCGTTGGGGAAAAAAGGTTCTCGAGTGGCAGCCTCGTACCGGTAGGCGAAGTGTAGGGCGACCCCCCACTAGATGGAGTGACGACCTGGTAAGACATGCAGGAAGTCGATGGATGCAGATGGCTCAGGACCATGCCTTGGGGGGAGGCCTATGTTCAGCAGTGGACTTGTGAAGGGCTGTAATGATGATGATGATGATGATGATGATGATCACTAACTGACTGTGTGTGGCGACCATAACATTACGAACTCTACACTACACTTGGAATATTCCATGTGCCCAGGAGCATACCGCATTACACACAACATGGAATATATTACTCGACCCATACACATACACAGCGCTTATCGCCCTACTATACCTTACTCTACCAAATATTCCACTCCTCTTTTAGGTATATAACTATCCACTAACTAGGCATAAAATATTACGTAACATTGCAAATTACACACTACGCGTGGAATATGTCACTCGACATATACATAAAATATTGTTATCAATCCGCCTTAGTACTTACTACTACGCACACGTACTACTACTACGTACGTACTACGCACAACACATAAAGTATTCCACTTGACCCGTCATAAACATTGCGCATTACTCCACACGTAAAATATTCCACTCGACCTTCCCCGGAACATTGTGCACTACACCCCAACACGTGGAATATTTCACCTGACCCGCCCAGGTACACTGCGTAGTACGCACTACACATTAAATATTTCACTCTATTTCTTCGTCCATGTACAAGCACTACATAAACACGTTGTACATACCATAGCCGACTGTATAAAAGTACTGGTATAGAAAATTACAACAATAAATGTATGGACTTTGTTACAATATCGACATTATGGCCGATCTCACATGCATTGTTAAACATAGGCCTCCCCCAAAAAATACACAAAGCGCGGTCCTCAACCACCAGCAAACATTGAGTTCCTGCGTCTCTTACTAGGTCGTTACTCCAACTTATGGGGGTAGGCTACACTGCGCTTGCCATTATGAGGCTACCAATCGAGACCATTTCTTCCCCGTGTCGGTTCTACGAGTTATATGGCCGGGCTATAGCCATCGGTTCTAGCTGTTCCGTTTGGGCTATATCAGTTATTTTGGTTCTACTACAGATATTGTAATTACGAAGTCTATCACGAAGAGAAACTTCGAACATAGCTCTTTCCATAGCTCGCTAGGCGATCTTGAGCTTCCACATGCGGTCAGCTGTGAAGGGCCATGTCTCAGATCCATATGTCGTTACTCTCAATACTCACTGTTTATATACTCTTATTTTTTAGTTTTGAGGTATACATGACGTGAAGATGTGTCGTTATCTTCCAAACGCGGCTCAGCCGTACTGTCGGCAAATTAAAGACGAGTGATGTACTTGGTATTCATGTTGATATCGTATCGTTTCCAGTCCAGTGGCTTGAAAACGTCTTTAAATTTTACGCAGAAGAGTTTCGTAGATATAACGTCACTCTGACTTGCACTCCTCTGCAGTTGGATAGGTTTCGCTTGGCACCACTGAAGGGACTGCATCAACGTACAAACTTCGACGAAAGTAAAGGCTTTCTCATAATCCGCATACATAAGATGAAGTTGATACTAAAGCCATTTATGTGACCCTAGCTAGTAATGTTACCATGTGATACGTAATATTATTATATATTTACTGAACCATAGAAGTTTTCAGTTTGTGCATA